AGAGAGAGAGAGAGAGAGAGAGAGAGAGAGAGAGAGAGAGAAGGGGGGAAGGGGGGCTGAAGATTGCTCTTGGACCCCTCAGTCATTCATTCATCCCGACCCCACAAACAACCCCGGGCAGCGCGCTGGGCTGGGCCGAGGCTCGGCCACGCCCCGGCTGATGGGCATTCCCTCCCTCCTATTCATAGCGCCACGCCGACCCTTAAGGGCGGAACTGTTCTTGAGTCAGTCAAAGGCGTTGTTCGGCACCGCACCACGACGCACCTGCTGTGAGAAAGAAAACGAAGAAACGTATAGGACACGAAATTAATCCAAGAAATAAATAAATAAAATCTTACTTTAACATCATCGCTCTTGAATCATCCGAGAAGTGCGTCCGTCATCTGCCGTTATACGAAACTGCCAAGTTGAGCCAATGCTAGGTCTCATAGCGCCTGATAGATATGCAACATCTTGTCTGTAGTGCATGCGTGTGCTGCAGGGTGGCCTACCCCGTGTATCGCAGGCGCTGAGTACTCGTAATTTGCCGACCTTCAATGGGTGAGGCCAGCTTCGTGGATACCTAACGACCAAAAATGTTTTCTGAGAACCGAATGTACTTCTAGAGGACCCCGACGAAAAACAAGTACTGGTCTCAGTGCATTCTTAAACTCTTTTTCGGTGTCAGCGACGCCGAGCCGAATTCACGCGGGTAAACGCGGACCTCAGTAGTGGTGGCTTACATTGGCATCACCCACACCCAGCCAGAAATGTATCGCCGTTTTTATTCACGTTAACGTTGAATCAACTTCGAGCAGACCAATATTTGGCCCAAATTTCAACGAAACTTCGACTGTGGACGTCGATTCAACGTTGAATCAACTTTCCGTTTCTGGCTGGGATATCCGCCACCACAGCCAAGTGCCTGGAAACGGGAGCAGCCCACACCCATTTTCGCTGCTAAACACTACGGGTCGTCGGACGATGGATTTGAGCTCCACTTGAATTTTGTGGCCTGAGGATACCTCCAATTTAATGGAGATAGGAATAACCCTCGCAATAACCACCTATCTAAAAGATCGCTGCGCTACCACTGAGACAACGATGGAGCTCGCATGTCGAATTTGAATCAAAACCACCATAGCAAACATTTTAAAACACCAATAACACGTTTTCTTGTAAAGGATCTCTTGCGGCGACCTCGAACCGTTCTCCACTATAGACGCAGACTCGGACCCTCGTACGTTTAAACGGAGCGCGGGAAACGGTTGGTGTCGAAGGGAATGACGTCATGCTCGTCTGCCCTTTGTTTGTTGTCAAATGTCTCGCTCATCTGTCACTCACTAAAGTTGTAGTCTCATTTTGTTTGTGGTCTATTGATCGAGTTATTTGAACACCATGATCGGACAATTCTAAGTCGTGTCGTTCATTTAGAGCCTAAGTTTTATTGACAGTCAGCAGCATTTTGATATTTTGGACCCACATAAACATAACCTATATCACCTGACAGTTTTCTTCAAAACATTGTGTGTTTAGAAGATCTCTCAGGTAATACTCTCTGAAACGCGCGTTCGTGCATCTCATGTTTTATGAATATTTCTTGTTGATCGATTTTTAACTGTTTAACAGGATTTTACTTGCTTTCAGTTTCACAATGAACGATTTACACATACTTAATTTTCGTCTAGTAGACTCTATTCCCACAGAGAAACCCCATTATGTGTACACAGTTGATGTGCAAGTCGGTGGGCGACATCGTTGTGTTGAAAAACGTTACAGTCAGTTCCACAGTTTACACAGACAGGTTGGTGGTCAGTTATTATTGATTGTTCCCTTGGATTATCAGAGCTAATCCGACATTCTTTTTTTCTATTTCTTTAAGCTGAGGAAAGAGTTTCAGACACCATCATTCCCACCCAAAAGAGTTCGATGCTCTCAACCTCGTTTGCTAGAGCAAAGACGGCGAGGTCTTGAGTTGTACTTAAGGACCTTATTTCAACAGTCAGCCTCCTGTCAATCTCAAATTTTAACATTCTTAGGGCTTCCTAAAGCCTCAACTCATGGGATGTAGGTATCACATCGTATATTCCAGGGTTTCTCTCATACTGTAAGAAAGTGTGCTAAATTTATCTCTGCCTTATTCTTTTAAATATTTACAGGTGTACCGGCAACATGGATGGTTCAATGGGCCACCAACCTGTGTTCATCTATAGGAAAGATCCATATATGCAACCCGATAGTAAATCAGACCTGCCCGATGTAGTTGTAAGTGGTATGCTAATGGCATTGTATGACTTGCCAAGCCTGTAATCTATTTTCTATTTATTCACCAGAATTCCAGTTGATTTACAATGTACATATTAACAAATGATATAATGGATGTAAATACTGTTTATTAAATTCATTTTCTAAATAAAATACAAATATGAAAAAGAAAAAAAAATGGAATACACATTAAACAAATACACTCTGTTGGACGGAAGTTTACACCACATTAGAAGGAATGACTGAGAGCACAATCATAATAAACTCTATTACATGAGCAAAATAGTATCTCAAAAATTACAATATCAACATTAAAAGATTTTGTGCAATACAGTAAAATGGGTAGTCTTACACATTCTCTAGTCGGACGGAAAAGTTAATTAATTGGAATTGTTCCTAAGGCACATGCTTGCAGATAATCTGCACTTACAACTAAATAGAGGGGTCAAAACTGCAAAAAGTTCTGTCAAGGACGACCCTCATTTCATACATTAGCACATGTTCAAAAAACAATGTACAAAGAAAAAATGTTTTTCCCTCACAACTGTCAAATACATTTAGAAAAATGTATTAATTACCTATCACATTTAGAAAAAGGCAGTGTGTTAATTTATGGGAAGACCTCTCAAGAGTTTAAACTATTTTTAAAAATCAGATCTAAACATCATGTTCATAATACAGATGAATTTCAAAGCATCAAAACTGAATTAGATCATTAACATTTAATGCATCAACATTTGTCTATCTATAAAACATTGTTCATTTCCAATTGGAAAACGTATGTTTTAATGCAGATCAATCATCAACTCACTTACACTACTTCATAAAATCTATAATTCATGGTTCTAGACAAAAACTTGATTTGAGAGTATGGACTACGCACATTGTGCACTCCGGCCTACCAAGTAGGTAAAGTCCCCAAGGAATGTGACTTAAACGGAACAGTGATAATATTTTTGGTGCATGCATAAAAGAAAAAGAAATGCATTGAAAAAAAGCAACCAAAGTATGATAAAGCTCTACATTTTAAAAACTAAGTCAATATAAATTTAAGTGTTTGTCGTGATTTTGTTATTTAGTCAGGTATTTATAATTTGAAAGGTTGCCTTTCAACATGATATCAAATTGTGCTCACTTACTTAACATTGGTATTTCTGACAGATGGCTCACAATGGCATTTAAAAAAAAGGTACAAAAAAGAACTATGTGATTTAATGTAACTTGAACCAAAATTCCTTGAATCAGTCCTATTTTGAAGAGATTTTCAACCAACATAAATTATTTTGGGAAAATTCTTCCAGAGAGAAAAGGACTGGTTAAAATGCAGAGCACACAGTTTGGGGTGTGACACAGACTCATCTTCTGCATAAGTAAATCTCTAGTTCTCTCAATGAAGAAGAATACCCTCTAAGCAACCTTACCTGAGATCATTCTACGGTAAAGGTACTTTTCTTTACCGCCTGAAGTATATCAACAACGTTACCATCATACTGAACAGCACTACAAAGCTGCTTTGAACAGTTGAGGCACCAGCCACACGGCACTTGAACATGTCATACCTGCAACCAAGCCATGGCAATTAGTCAGCTACAGTAAGAAATGAGGTATTTGAGAACTCGTGTAATTAAATAACAATTTACCTCGATGGTTGTTCATTTACAATATTTGAGAACTCTGCCTCAACAAGTTGACCATCATAGTATGTTATTTGATCCTCAAAGGGATACTCAAACCCTTGTATGCACTGGCACTTGTAACCACCAGTTTCAAACCCACGACCAAGAATAGGAACACACTGAAAAAATAAAAAATGAGGGTAAAAAGAATAATAAAGATAAGATCTAACATTAACATTGCGTATGTTACTTTACACTAATACTCACATAAGACGATTTTCTTGGGCATTTGTGGGTATCCTTGAATGCATTGGGTACATAATACTTATCTGGACACTGGTTGATGTCTAGCTGACGCAAATTGACAGTCACAGCCACAACACCCCTGAAACACAATCATTATTGAAAAAACTGGATGGCTTATGCCAATTGTACACTACTAATCTCCAGAAAAACAGGCAAAATTACTTACTTGAATTCAAGTTTAACCTTAAGGCTGTCCCAACCAAAGAAAGGAGATGCATAAGTCATGACCCATTTCTTCACTTTCCCTTCACAATCAAAGTAAGGTGTTGTCCAGTGACCATGATTAAGATTTGCAGCTCTGGAAACAAAATAATCAGAGAAAGGAAATTAAGTTAGAGATAAAAAACACTATTTTCATTTACACTGTTAATTTTTTTTTGATACCAGATCATACCTGTAGTGGTTCGGATAGTGTTCATACTTCTTCAGATTTTCACCAGTTTCATTGAAACGTAATTTGATTTTCATAAAGTACTTTTCTAGGTCGTCAAAGTTTGTTGACCAGCGCTGCTTTAGGAAACGGAACCATGGTTTATTGAGGTACACCTCCTCTGAAAGAAAATCAAACATACATGTTATTAAAGACTGTCCAAGCAGTGCAAGGAAAGAAGTCTGTATGACAATCTACCCATGAAATCTTTTCAATGTGTGAACTATTCATGGCGAGCTTGTATGTTACATATGATTTGAGCTGACGTAAACCAAACTATTCACATATTATGAGGAACACATGTGCCATGTGAGGGTTTCATATGTTATCCATAAACATGAGACATTTAAATTGGGGTTATCAAAATAACTTACTTATGTAAATGATTGAATTGACTGCATAATCTTACCTGACTTGTTCAGCCGAGCTAAATCCTCCAGTTTGAATTTCAATGTGTTTAATTGCTCTTTATAAGCATAAGGAGCAAATAGTGTGCGATTGGTGAACTTATTTCGTTCCCAATAAGTTCCAGCAGACCAGATCTTGGTATCTCCCATGACAAGAGCCAAAGTTTCACCAAACATCTGATCTTCAGTGAGTGGTTGATCAGCCACACGCTTCCCAGTGAACACTTCTTTGGGGTCTGATATCTATGGAAAAAGATAAAAATGCATGATACATCTTTTTGTAATCATAAATCAGTGTTGATAGGTAGTCAGACACACAAGACAATTACCTGTAAGAAGGCACTGATGAAATTAGCAAGACGAGAGGCCATTTTGGCCTCGTTTTCAAACTGCTCCTCAGTACCATATGCAATGTCTCCATGTAGGATAAGATCTTGTGGGTGATATCTAAAAAAATTAAATTAAATATCATTATTTTAAAAATAAAATTGCACAAGAGATTTAATGAATAAGTACTCACTGTTTGCAGTTTCCTTCATTCACAGAGAAGATAAACTTAAGAACCTCATCAACGTTAACTCTACCAGCATGAAGAGATTTCGCACCCTTAGATGCATTCTTGTACTCTGGGAACTTGTCCAAATAATAGTTGCGCATGTATTCTGGAACTCTATCCCATTTAACAGGAATCTTGTGGACCCCTGAAATGAAACTAAGCCTTACAATACTGAACCAAAATGAGATAGTTCATAGTAGAAACAAATACGCACATCCTACTCTCAGGCAGTCGAAATTATTGTAATACTGTTCAGCAGTAGCTCGCTCTATGATCTCTCCAAGGAATGGCCGTCTCACAACAGTTGGTAGACGGTATTGAGGTCTACATCGACACTGATAACCTCCTCTCCTAAAGCCCCATCCATGAATAGGTTCACACTAACAAAAAAAAATAATTTTAGTAAAGCAAACACACGAAAAAAACCATAAATGACAATATTTTAAAAAGAAAACAAGGGTTAAGGAAGAGTTTTCACCTCTGTAGATTCTTGTTTACATCTTGCAGTGTCTGCAAATATATTAGGACCACTATTTCCCTGGCCTTTAGGACATTGATTAATATCTATTCGATCATAGTCCATTTCAATCACTGACACTGCAGTGTACCTATGGAGGAAAGAAACATCAGTAAAATAAAGAGCCAAAATTAAATCAATGTTAACAGAGATTATTGCAGTAACTCACATAGGAAACTCAATGTGCCGAAAACCTGTGTGACGGGGATAAAGATCGGCAATCGGCACCACAGCAGCTACAAGCCATTTGTTAGAGCGCCCGCAGTCAAAATATGGGCGAGTCCATTTAACTGGTCCAGGATCCTCATGAGCACCTGAAAATATTTAACAAATATTTTAATCGATCCAAACTTCAGGTTTTTTTTAACTCAGAAATTAGTTACTAACCTTGTGGTCCATGGAAGGTAAATGTTTCATTGGTGTTGTTTGCATATCGTATTTCAACTTGATAGGTTGTTTTAGTATCATGACGACCCTTTGTTTGATCAGGTAACCACTTCTTATACCTTGAGTAGAAAAGTAAATTAACAAACCTTTCAATAAAATCAGAAGAAGAAAGAGGCTAGTGGTCAAGGAAATACAAACCATTCATTGATGCGATAATATTCAGATGTATAATCTTGACTTAGGCTGTCACTGGGAAAGGCACCTAGATCTCTTACTGTAAAAGTGTTCCGGGTTGACAGTCGTTCAAGATGGACAGGGTCATTAAAATCATCCTCCCTGCAATATAAAAATATTTAAGAGATTGATGGAATGAAAACTACAAGTTTTGTTCTGACTTTCTGTTGACCACAACTGACCTGAAAGTTCTAGGGGCAAAACGTGGCAAAGTTTTGTTGAAGAATCCTCTGTATGAGGATGAGTACGAAGAGTTTGGAGCAAAGTAAATTGCACTGGCGTTGATGTATGGGTTGGCGGATACATCGGCCACAGTTGACAGGAAGTAATACATCATACCAGGATCGTAGGTGTCATTGATGGCTGGTCGAATAAACCTTGTCTGGAGAATGTAAGAGAAGAAAAAGGCTCTGCTCATGGCCATGTTGTGCAGGTGCAAGAGAGCGGTCCTGTTGGGGAACACTGGGTTGATGTTGATCTCCTTGATGTCGGGGATGTGGCTGACCGAGTCCTCCGGGAGGTACAGGTCGCCCAGGTGCTGGATGGGGCAGTTGTCCTTGGTGACGCGCTGCATCTGCGAGCGCACCTCGTCGAACGAGTCCTTGGCCTGCCACTCATACTGACAGAGGATAACGTTGACGCCCAGGCCGAGGATGGCCAGCACCGTGTACAACAACAGGTGCCACCCCATGACTCACTGCTTCTAGTCGGTCCGACCAAAGGGTGGCCCGGGGGAAATGAGTCGAAACTTGATGCCGGGATCAAGAAGTGCGAGATTTACAATCTCAGGGGAAGTTTAGGGCCAAACAAAACAACATAATCGTGAAATTAAAGCCGCACTAGCACAACAACCCGCCCGAGCCCGCCGCCATCACGCCAACGCCTTGTTTTGGACGCGGGCTGCGTGCGAACGCTGCATCCGTCGCGCTCCAACGCTCACGGGCGAGCAGCGAGTGCGACAAGGATGGAGCGTGTCTGCGTGTAGGGAGTGGCCGCATATTTGGCTACATTCATATTGAAATGGCACCTTTCGAGTATGAAAAACTCAGTTACAGGGTGTACCTCCTGAAGTGCCACATCACGCTTCATTCCAAGTCACAATGTGAGAAAAACGAAGAAATTTCGAAGAAGGGAAAGGCTTTGAAATGAAAAATGAAATGAAAAAAGAAATTACTGTTTCTTTTTTGTAAATTCCTCTTTTGGAAAAGACGCAGCCAACTATGCCCCAGAGAAATACGGTTGGCCATCATGTAAACGCGATGAATTTGCCATACCTACCTTAAGACTGTTTGTGTTGTCGCTGTGGTGTGCGTCTTCCGTCCGTTGGTGTCTTTAACCCCTAGTTTTTGACGTTTAAACTGTGATCTGTGGTGGTTTTGAGCACACGGGGTACAGACGTGTGTTTGTACAGCTCCTCCAGTCCGTACTCGGCCCGTTCGGCCATCGAGTGCTCTGCTGTTCGCCCGGAGTAGGAGTGCCGGCTGCCGGCCTAACCTCCGCGATGCCAAAGTATTACTGTGATTACTGTGACACATACCTGACGCACGACTCGCCGTCGGTGCGCAAGACCCACTGCCAGGGCCGCAAGCACAAGGACAATGTCAAGTACTATTACCAGAAGTGGATGGAGGAGCAGGCCCAGCACCTGATCGACGCCACCACGGCCGCCTTCAAGGCGGGCAAGATCGCCTCCAACCCATTTGCGGGCAAACCGGGAGCAGCCGTCCCACCACCGGCGTCGTTGCAGCATCCTGGTCCACCCCATGGACCTCCTCGACCCCCAGGTGTCCCTCCCCCCGGCCACCCCGGAGGCCCGCCCGGCATGATGCACCCGGGTATGCACCCTGGCATGGGCCCCATGGGCCCAATGATGGGTCCCCAAGGCCCCATGATGAGGCCGCCCATGGGTCCTATGGGTCCGATGATGGGCCCTATGGGCCCGATGATGGGCCCCATGGGTCCGATGATGGGCCCCATGGGCCCGAGAGGACCCATGTTAGCTCCAATGCCACCGCCTGCCATGAAGAAAGCTTGAAGAGCGTCTCGTGTTCTGGTTGTGACTACCACTTTTGGCCGTCATCATTGGTTTCTTATTTGTATGACTGTTGTGAATCTAGTTTACACTACTATATGGTGCTTGTTATTGTGGATCAAAAATATTGCAGTGTACCTCATTCCGCGCTCTCATCTTTTGAATGTTCTTCTAAAAGATGAACGTTTCTTTTAAATGACAACCTGTTCAAATCTTATATATATTCTTGTATATATTGTATGATAGGAATCAATAAACAGATCTCGTCTAATTAAAATATGTCTTACTGCGTTTTTTGTTTGGCAATTAATATTTGAAAAAGTGAGATGGCTTGGGATTTATGCAGGGTTGTTCAGAATGCAAGGTTTAACATAATTTTATGAAATATATATTAATTTATGAAAATAAATATATGTACATCACAATAAATATATGTACAAAGCAACATAAATTTAACATTTTAATACTTTATATTTTGCTACATCTTCATTTTTGGCAATTTTGTCTTAAACTATAAAGCAGTTTCCAAAGCAGTTGGCGATTCATTTCTTAGTTTGCTATAGTCAGGTTCTTCCAGTGTTGTTGGCAACTTCTGCCCAGGGACAATTTTTAATTGTTTTGAGTACTGAGGGAATTTATTTGTTTGAGGGAAGATAGGTGCTGTTTCAACATGTTGACTGTCCCCTAGAACACTGGGATACTGATGAAACTCATGTTTTGGAAGTACAGTTTGAGAGCGGATAGGCTCCCCTAACTCTGAATATATTGGGCAGGGCGGGCATTGAACAGGGTCTTGAGATCGTGCAAGTCTATTTAACATTCTTCCAACATTTCTTCCAGCCATAGGCGAGGCTGACAATTGCTGAATTTGTAAGACTTCTGTTGCTCGCTCTTCCCCATGTTGATCTTCTAATATAGGAGTTGCTCGTACGTCATTTCTATGAGCTGCAAATCTTAAAGATGACTTAGGCCCTGGTTTCAAGAGTGTAGACTTAGAAGGAATGACTTTAGAAGGAACTGACTGTGTAGAGGTAGGATTGATTGAAACTGGTTTTGAATTCAGTGAACCGAACCGGAACTTTGGTGCATTGCTGGTAATGACATTTGTGGCAGCTTGTTTGGCTTGCTTTAATCTCTCAACAGCTGACATTCTGCTTTTGCCACTACTACTTGCACCATGTTGGAGGAGTAGGCGTTTGAAATCATAAGTTGAAGTAACTTGAGTCAGCCCATGATCTTTTGGAACACGCAAGTTTGGAGAGGGGGTGTTACTTCTTGCATCATAGTTGCTTGCAATATCTAAGTATTTACTTGAGTTAGGAGACCAGCTGTGTCTCGATCGGGCTGCCAACCTAGGATCAGTTGCTGCAGCCGCAGCAGTTGCAGGGCTCACAGACCGATCAGAGCCCACAGGGGACTGACTCCCTATTGAGGGAGATGGACTGAGAACTATTTCAGGCTCATATTTTAAGTTCATTTGCTTCTTTGATTTATGGATTTTGGCATAAAGTTCCTCTGTTGTCATTGTACTTTTTGGTGACAAAACAAGTTGAGGTTTCTTTTCCTCTCTTTCATAGGATTTTCCACTCCCAGGGAAACTGAAGCTTTCCTGCATTCCCTCATTTCTAACACATGACACATGTCTTTCAATAGGTGAAAACGTATTATTGGTCAATGGGGAAGCATTTGCTGAATCAGGTTTAGTTGGAGTTGAAGAATGTAAGGGGGCTTGAATTGTTCGTCCTGAATTCTGCATTTCAGGAGACATAAACCTATTGATGGATGCTGGTGAGGCAGCATACCTAGGCTCATATTGCTGAACAATTTTGGTCTCATCTCTGCCTAATTTTAAATTTTGGTAAATAGGCTGATTTGGGGAAATAATTGTATATGGGTCTTCTGCATGTTGAGTTTTTTCTGGCAAGTCTCTCTTTCGGATATATGTTGAACAGTCTGAAAAATAAAGGAGAAAAAAAGACATGAAAGATCAACAAAAATAAGCCATAAAGGGGACAACGCCAATCGTGTTAGGGTTTTGTTTCAATCTCAATCATTTTTCCAATTCCAAATTTTAGTAGCATTGCAAATTTTGTTATGTATGAACTCAAAAACGGATTTTTAAGACATGCAAAAATGTTCCAAACATGCACACACACTGCTCACCTCCTGACGCTGCCCTGCCCTGCCAAGGAGTCACGGAGGAGGTGCAATAAGGAGCAAAGTTTATGTACACTACCAATACATAAGACATGAAAGTTTAAGCCAGTGTTACAGGTTGATTTAGGGACTGTACAGTCAGTACAGAAATATGCTCGCACTGTGATGTTGTGAAAATATTATGTGTCAGTATAAAAAACTGAGTGTTACTATCAGTGCTGGTGACATAGCAAATGACTATGAGTGTCTTGAAGCATGCAAGCCTAGAGATTAGACAAGGGCATGAGTAAGGATCAGTCTGACAGGCAATGCACATTTACCCGAACTCTTATACCAATGTTTATTGCGTTACTCCATGCACCACCTTCTGAAACTCCTCTCCGTGAGAATAAATGAGGGGTGTGAATGTGCAGAAGCTTAAGTGTGTGCCAGACAAACTTGTGCAGTAGGATTTGTTTTTAAAAGAGGGACTATGCATCACCAAAATCACACAAGAAATTATATAGACCATCATGTATGGACATTTCAATAACAATCATTATTAATTTCATTGCCTTCATTACTTGTTGCAAAGCACTTCAGGCAAGCAATAAGGTTGGTGCATATACTGTTCTTTTTCAGTACAATAAACCAGGAACCACAGCCAATTTAAAGAAACAAAACAATTTCTTTCAAGCAATAAATATTTCAATAAATTAAGAAATCAGGTCTTTCCTTGGTTCTGCAGAAAATGACAAGTTACTTAACAAAACATTGGTGCAAATTCAATCACTTGATGATCAACTTGTCATCAATCTTACTAGAAGAAAGGGTAGTTTTTTCTCATAATCTGAAGTTAAATTGACTTGCCATCATCGCATTCAAGATCATGAAGTAAACAAAGACCTCTATGTACATCTAGAGAAGTTCAAGGTGAACAGATAGTTGATATACTCAAAAGAAAAGAGTGGTAAAAAAAAAGTGAGTGCACAGCAATGGGAAGGTTGATGGAAAATTGAAAAGATTTTTGATAGCTGTGCAGATTGAAAGAGAAGAGAAGAAGCATCAAGCTATTAACATTATACAATAGTATTTACAAAATCACATTCAAAGTAATAAAAGGAACACACAGTTAAAGCTATGTAACAGGTTTCAAATTATGCAAACTTTCAGATTTAACACAAGAATTCCATTGATAACCACAATAAAAATGGAGAATGCAACAGAAATCAGTTAATGATAAGTTAAACTGAATGCATCAGATGATTAAAACATTAATAAAAATCATTAAGAAATTTTAAAAATCAATATGTTTATAAAAACCTCCCAGGACACTACTTTACAAAAAAAGAAAATATGGCACCAATGGAATCACACAAGCACAATTTAATACAAGCAGCAACCATCAAATAAGAACACTTACGAACAAACAACAAAACATGAAACTAGGAAAACACAACGTGCTATGTACACACTCATACAAACAACTTGCAAATCAAAACTAAACAAAACAAAAAAATCACTCACATCTAGCACAAAACTTGAGATAAAATATCTATTAAAACTGCATGCTACAAATAAATGCACAAAAAAAGAGGTGGTTGGGTAGAAGCTAGGTAAATTTTTATTTTAAATATATGCTGTGATCTGAT